AAACACACAGAGCAGAACTACAGTGTCTGTGACAACAAGCTGTCCCTACATAGCATGGTTGGCCTCTTCACTCTCAAATGAACCTATTAGCCCAAAGAATTTCTCCTTCATCAACAGCCCGTTTGAAGTGACCACTACCTTGCTTCTGTCATTCCACATCTCTTGTGTCTATCGTGGGAAAGAAAAAAGTAGTCACCTCCAGTCAAGAATCTCTTACATTTAATGTATTCTCAAATACTTTCAGAAAAATAAATGCATCATCCTGGTGTTATATAAAAATTGTAAAATTCTTTTACATCTGTGTACCCAACAGTCGGTAACTTGGGTTCCTATGTTTTCTACATGTAGAAGTATTGTTACTGAAACTATATGCTTCTCTTCCAGTTGCAGGAACTTAAAAATGTTTTATTCTATGGCTCCGTAAATGTCACTGCTTCTAAGATGAAGCTGGAAATGAATCCTTAAATATATCTATTTTCTCTAAAAGCAACCCTGATGGGAATCCTTTGGTGAAGAAAAATATTCCTTCCTTTCTCCCTCCCTCCCTAAACTTGGATTTAAAACTCAAGGTGGTGGTGATTTTTTGTGAACACTTATTGAGCCTTTCCGATGAACCTGGCACCACACTCAGCGATTCACATATGTTTTCTCGCTTAAGTCTCATGACAGCTCCATGAGGTAGGTGCTATTATTGTCCTTATTTCACAGATGGGGAAGGAGAAGTGTTAAGAAACGTGCCCCAAGTCACTTGAGCAGTAGCAACCGAGTAGCAGAGCTCAGATTTAGTTCCAAATCCGCCTGACCCTAAAGCTCAAACTTTTAGCTGCTACTCTACTTTGCCTTTCAAGTTTCATCAAAATGAGCTCAAAATTAAAATTATTTAGAGTCTGGTGTTTTCTCAAGAAGAAGGTTGTATCATTGGATGTTACAATGGGCTTGTGTTCTTCCCACTTCCTGGGCTGGTGCTAGTAGCAGACGTACTCTTGAGTTGCAAGAGCAAGTGGCATTGGGGAGAAACCATGGAGGTGACTTTAGGTAAGAACACTCTGCAGGCTGATGGGCACAGCTCTGATTTATTAGATAATATATTAGAGCTGCTTCATTCTAGGGGGGCTGCAGCATACTACGTTGCTGAATGTTTTCTCCCTTATTAACAACCTATTCAAACTAGTGTTGAGCAGTACTTTGGTTTTTTGTTGTTGTTGTTGTTTTTGAGACAGAGTCTCATTCTGTCGCCCGGGCTAGAGTCATGGCATCAGTGTAGCTCACAGCAACCTCAAACTCCTGCACTCAAGTGATCCTCCTCCCTCAGCCTCCCGAGTATCTGGGACTACAGGCATGCACCACCATGCCCAGCTAATTTTTTCTATATATTTTTAGTTGTCCTAGCTAATTTCTTTCTATTTATAGTAGAGATGGGGTCTCGCTCTTGCTCAGTCTGGTCTCGAACTCCTGATCTTGAGTGATCCTCCTGCCTCGACCTCCCAGAGTGTTAGAATTATAGGCTTGAGCCACCATGCCTGGACAGTACCTCGTTTTTAATCTTTTTCATATCTCATGCCTTATCATTAAAAAAAAGAATGATCATCTAAATTTAAGAGTGTCTTAAGTTTAATATGTTCTGAAAAACTTGAAGGGTGAAATGCATACCTTTGGGGTCCAAAAATACCTTTGTATAGCCAAAGTGTTCCAAAGGTACATATTATATACATTCACCAATGAAGAACTGACTTTGGACAGAAAATTCCTAAGCTACCTGGAGAAGAGATTTCCTTTTGTAAAGTCATTACATTATTTTATGCTGTTCATATTTGGAGCTGAGAATTGTCCACCTTTTGATGACGTATTTAAGGCCTAGAGGCTGTAGCAATGGGAAAAAGAGCTACCTCTTGTTTTGAGTAAGACTTGGAGGCTTCAGACAAAATGTCTGTTCTCTCCCTGAAGGGAACATCATCTTTTGTCAAGTAGAACTACAAAATTGGCCCAGCGAAGTGGCTTACGCCTGTAATCCTAGCACTCTAGAAGGCCGAGGTGGGAGGATTGCTGAGCTCAGGGGTTCGAGACCAGCCTGAGCAAGAGCAAGACCCCATCTCTACTATAAATAGAAAGAAATTAGCCAAACAACTAAAAATAGAAAAAATTAGCCGGACATGGTGGTGCATGCCTGTAGTCCCAGCTACCTGAGAGGCTTGAGGCAAGAGGATCGCTTGAGCTCAGGAGTTTGAGGTTGCTGTGACCCAGGCTGACACCACGGCATTCTAGCCCAGGCAAGAGAGTGAGACTCTGTCTCGAAAAATAAAAATAATAATAATAAAAAAAGAGATGCTTTTTCAATTTCTAAAAAAAAAAGTATGTTAATTTCTGGGTCAGTGCAGAAAGAATTTTTAGTGTCATAATCTCTGAATTTATGACTTGTGAGACAGTCATAATCTCTGAATTTATGACTTGTGAGACATCAAGTTTTGCACCAATAAAAAGTGAACTTTAAAAAAATCCTTTCATTTGTTTAGAACAAAAGAAGTGTTAATCAAATTAATATACTCTATGGGTAAAGGGCATAAGCTCTAGAGTTTGATGCCTAGTTCAGATCTTGACTCTATCATTTATAGATTGTGTGATCTTGGGCAATCTACTTACAATCTCTGGGCTTTAGGTTCTTCGTCTATAAAATAGTATTTATTTTATGGGTCTATTGTGATGATGAAATGAGATAATCCCTATGAATTGCTCTGTACAGGCTGGGTAAGGAAAGAGCTCATTAAACTAAAGCTCTTGAAACCTCATAATTTACTGTAAAGTTAAAATGCAGACTGCATTTCTGTCAATTAACTGATTACATATACAGTGTGTGTGTGTGTGTAGTCCTTGTTAAAATATTCTTCTGTAGTGCATTTGTTGACACTGTCTGGCAACTCTTATCCTTTTTTAAAGTTAGGAACCCGGCCTCAGCAGGGTGACTCAGACCATTGCAGCTGCCTCCTCTGTATTCTCAGCCACTGCTTTTCTAGTTCCATTGACTGCTCTCCTGGAGCAGTGACACATGCTTATCTACTTTTGGTTAGAACGATTAGGCAATCTGCTCAAATGATATATTTCTGCTGATTTCAGGTTTTGCTTTCTGCCATAAATGAGAAAGAAATGCAACTAGCAAGGAATGCTTTAGCCCTGTTGAATGAGCTCCAAAATGCCTCACTCACTTATATTGACTGCTTTGCTTGCTGTCGTGTTTAATGTTTCAGAGGTTTCAGTTTGAAGACAGTGTAAACCAGAAACTGGACAGGGTACATACAGTACTCTAGTATGTCTCTTTTGTGTATTAGAGTGTGTTGTCTGTTGTTCAGTAGTAAATTTATTACACATGTGCTGTTGCACTATTAGATAATATGAATGCTAACAGTAACAGCTAACATTTATCGATTGCTTACTGTTAATATGTACCAGGTGCTGTTATATAAGTATAATACTTTACACATATTAACTCTTTTAATCCTCACTATACTATTATTGTTCCCATTTTACAGTAGTGGAAAAGGGCCCAGATGATTAAGGGACTTGTCCAAGGCCACACAGCTTCAAAACTTTTGTCAGTCTATACCCTTTTACTTCCACTTTATTATTTTTATATTAATTTTTAGAGAATATTTGACATCAGTTTCCTCCAGTTCTCAGTGTAGGGATATTTTCCTGGAGGTGGGAAGGTTTACTAAGGTGAGTTTGGAGGCTCATCTGGTGGGCTGCTCAGATCAAAGCCGCATTAGCACGACTGTTAAGGACAATCAAGGATCATTAAAAGGCAAGGTTCTGTTTTATGGGGCTAGAAATTAGAATGTCTGCTAATGGATTTTGTGGCTTCTCTTGGAGCGAGACATTTTTATTCATTTCCAAGCCAAAAACAGATGTGTATTTTTCAGGAATGGTTAAAGTTCAGGTATTGGGGGGAGGGAGAATAGAGATTAGCAAGCTTCACCTTCAAATCCTTTGTGAAATGAGACAGGAGTTATGAAACAAAACAAACCAAGAAAGAAACCTGTGAGCCTTCCCTGAACTGACCCACGGCAAACACCCTTTCTTCTTCCAGGTTCCCTTTCTCAGCTTCTCCCAGAGTCCTGGGGACAGTTCCCTTCTGGATAACTTTGCCTTGGAATAGAGCCTGTTGTAAACAGAAGGATCTTTGTTTGGAATAGACCTTCGTGTAGATAAGTCCATTGAACTAAAAGCGTCAGGTCACGCAGTCAGGGACACATGGAGGCAAGTAGAATGTTCTCTCCAATGGAAAATGAGACACGTACTCAGGAGATGCCAGCCCTGGCTTCTTTGGTGGCCGAGGGACTTGTGTCTACCAGAGTAGATCAGACTGCTGGGGGGGGGGTTGGGCAGGGTAGGGAGTGGGACAGGGCCATGCTAACAACAGTGTGATCTGTGCTCTCCTGAGGGCTGCTGCGGCTCAGGGAGGAATGGGGCCTTGACTGTGACGATCCTGAAAGGGTACAGGGACCGCACTGTGCCATGAGGGGGCGATGGGAACGTTCGTGCACCCCTTATTACGGCTGTGACGAGGATGAGAAGATCAAATAGGTTTACCATAGGTGGTAGTGGAATGAGGGCGGGGGCTGAGCGAGGGATGAGCTCAAATGCAACGAAATGAAAAGCGGGAAGCACCTTTAAGGGCAGGGTTGGCCCAAGTCAGCGCTCCTGGGCTGTACGCTGGGTTAATATGGAATCTATACTGCAAGCTGCTTCTGGGCACGTACGCCAAGGTGTTCTTGTCCACCGCGGCTAACACACCCACGGCAGTCGAAGTCCTTATCACTGAGTCAGCCGGAAGGACACTGGCAACCTAAGGGGTCTGGGGGGCGGGGAGGGGTGTCATCGAGTGGATCCCCCTCTGCACGGATGAGTGGTGTAGGCGAGGACTGACGTCCTGACACGCCCCTGCCCCCCTCCGCGGCTCCCCTCTCTGCACAGCTCATCCCGCTTAGAGAGACACTGGCTGGTGGCCACCTGCCAAGTCAGGCCGGGGCCACGAGGAAGGGGGAAGGGGCCGCGGGAGGCACATCAGATGCGGCGGCCGCCGCCGCAGCCACTCCTTTAGACTCTGGACGCGCCGAGACTTGGGGCGCCGTGCCTCCGCGTTATAAAAGCTCCGGGAAAGGGCCGCCGGCAGCCCGGGAGGCGGGTACCTGCCGGGGAGGCGCCGGGGCCACCGCGCTGCGCCCCCACCTGTTGCGGCTGCCGCGCTGCGCTGCGCTCGGCGGAGATGGGCCGCTACTCGGGCAAGACGTGCCGGCTGCTCTTCATGCTCGTGCTCACCGTCGCCTTCTTCGTGGCCGAGCTGGTGTCGGGCTACCTGGGCAACTCCATCGCGCTGCTCTCCGACTCCTTCAACATGCTGTCGGACCTGATCTCGCTGTGCGTGGGCCTGAGCTCCGGCTACATCGCGCGGCGCCGCACGCGGGGCTCGCGGGCCACCTACGGCTACGCCCGCGCCGAGGTGGTGGGCGCGCTCAGCAACGCCGTCTTCCTCACCGCGCTCTGCTTCACCATCTTCGTGGAGGCCGTGCTGCGCCTCGCCCGGCCCGAGCGCATCGACGACGCCGAGCTGGTGCTCATCGTCGGCGCCCTGGGGCTGGCGGTCAACGTGGTGGGGCTGCTCATCTTCCAGGACTGCGCCGCCTGGTTCGCCTGCTGCGGCCGCTGCCCGCGCCGCCGCCCGAAGCCTCAGCAGCCGCGGCCGCTGGCGGAGGGCGGCCTCCGGGGCGCGGAGCACGGGCCGCACGCCGCGACCCCGGCAGCCCCGGGCGGGGACTCGGCCGTGACCCTCCGGGGGGCCTCGGGCGAAAGGACGCAGGAGAAGGGGGCGACCGTGTTCTCAAACGTAGCAGGTGCCTTTCGGTTGCATCCTTTGGACCACTGCGTCCTCCCTCCCTTCTCCCTCTCCCGCCCGGCCCTTTTCTTGTCACCCCACGCCCTCTTTGCTTCTCCCTGCCCTTTCTTTTTTTTTTTTTTTTTTTAAATCGCTTTCCTTTGCAGTTCCGCTTTACACCTCTTCTGCTGACTTAACATATTCCCCACGATTTCTTTCTTTCATTTTTCTTATGGATTCTCGGGTCCCCCTAGCTTCTTTCCCCCTCCCCCATTCTCTCTGTATACGAGTATTGATTTTCTTGGAAATCATTCCTTACTGGGCAACAGAGAGCATTCCCCGGCCCCTCCTCCCCTCATTAGTTGCTTCATTAGTTTGCTTTTTCCCATCCCCTTTCTGTCCCCTCGGATGTTACGGGTTTTGGGTTTTGCGGGTGGGGGTGGGTTCCCACTCTCCCCCTTTTTTGTTTTAATTTGAAAGGAAGTGTGAATGAAGCCCAAAGGTGCATCACAAGGCTATTTCAAGGCCAAAATGTGCCATTCTGGGCTGTGTGTGTGCAGGGGCAGGGTCTCCCATAAGCTAGTAGGAATTTAAAATAACAAAACTTTATTTTGCGTCCATTGGTTCTTTTTGTTTGTAGAACTTATACACAACACAAGGTTTCTTCTTTGAATGCAGGTGATTCCCTGAACACCCAGAATGAGCCTGAAGAGATGATGAAAAAGGAGAAAAAGTCCGAAGCCCTGAATATCAGAGGTAGGATTGACCGTGGGACCCTTTGGAAATCCTTTCCAGTGGCCCACGTGGACTGTGCTTTCATTTCTGTTTGGCTTTTAATAAGGCGATGATGTGTTTGCAAGTAGCCCAGGTGCGTGCATAGACTATGACCCTAGTCTCTTACCTAATCACATTGATTGAGGGAGAAAAACTAGCTGCTAATGATTTATCTTTGCTCCACTTAGATCGGTGCTAAAGCTACCTGCTTCCGAGCCCCACGTATCAGTGCCATGTTACTGCTTTACTTGATTTTACTCATCTATGGATATGGTTAACATTCAGTGTCCCCTATTTTAATTGAATGTGATTTTGATGAAGATGGGAAATGAATGGGTGTGGTGCTATCCAAGGTTATGCCCTGCGTGGCATCGCTTAATGACTCTATCACCGGAGTTGCTTCTGCCAGAAGTCTGCTTTTGCGAAGGCACTGTTGGCTAACCAAAACCTCTATTTCCTGACCCAAAGTGGGGGTTCTGGTGAGGCCTGTGGAAGGCAGCTAACTGGCATTCTTGCTCAAGGTCTGAATGGCTGGGCTAAGGTCAGCCCAGTGGGTTCTGAGATGTGTTTCTCACTAGATACCACTGTATCCAACGTCTCTCCTTTCCAACTTCCTGGGCACGGATCTTACTTCAGAGTAATTCCAGAAGGGATTAATCCTTAATCTTGACTTTGAGAATTTCAGCAAGGATTAAGCAGCCCTTTGCCTTCGTGTGGTTTAGGGAAAGCCTGCAGTGGGGCTTAGATGGAAATGATATAAAGAAAAACTAATAGTCTGGGAGAGATTTCGTTTTTGAGAGTGTCGTGTGTGTTTTACAAAGTGATTCTCAGAATGAGCCTCTGGGGAATATCCAGAAAACAACAACAATAATAATAATGTGTGAGCTCCTAACATTTTCTAAATAAACTAATTTTTAAAGATTTAGATGCAACAGTGGAACTTGCTCTTCATAAGAGCCTGGTGGTGAATCTTTTTGGAAAGAGAGAACCTATAATGAAAAATCATCGTCCTTTAATTTATCCTTCCTTTTTAAGGTTCAGTTTAAAATATATGTATGTATATATACATATATGTTTATATTATGGGTTTTTAAGGTGGGGTTCACCATCATAGCACTGTAACTTTTCAAAGCATATTCTGTAATTATCTTCATTCTTATGTTACAAAGTTGAGCATGTAACCAGCCTGCTTCCAAACCCACCATTGCTTGTGTACTTTGTGCCAGGAACCATTCATGAATGAGTCAATTGGTGATCACAGAAGTCGTACTAGGTGAAGACAATTGTCATTTAGGTATCGAGTAGAATTGCTGACCCAGACTGCTTCCTTAAGGGTTAGTCCAGATCATTCCTGCTGGTTTTGATGAGTGCCTGTGCTGTGGCTAACAGGAGCCTCCCCATATTTCAGGCTAAGTGTGAGGCTGTTCTCACCTTAGGCCCTCTGACCTCATCTTGGACCCACAATCAGGGGAGGATCACAGAATGTTGGAGCTGGAAAGACCTTAGGGAAAATGGACTTCAACCCTTCACTTCACAGATGAGGAAACAGGATGCAGAGGGTTTGGAGGCTTCCCCAAGTCATGCCAGCTAGCAGCAGAGGCAGGCTGCTAACACCACATCTCTGGCTCTTTCTATGATCACATGCTGCCTCTAGATTCCAGGTAGGGGTGGCTTACCTTCTCCAGGATACACGGTCCACTGAATGGTTAGATTTCTAACATTTAAGGAAGTGCCTTGGAAACCAGGGCTGCACCCCAACCCACTTCAGACCTGTAGAGGAAACATCTGACGAGGATCCCGGTGAAAAGAAGTCATTTCTTGCTTCCCATTACCGTTTCTCTTATTCCAGTGGGAACAAAGAAATGAGTTCTAAGAAACATACTCTATCTTTTGCAAAATACCGTGAAAGCACAATCCTTTTAAAATTCTTGTCAATGTGCTTTGTAGTGGTTGATTTTATTTAATAGGATCAAACATGACACATTAAAAATCATGTAACAGAAGACATGTGTCAGAAAGACAATTAGTCCTATTTATGTCGGTATAAACATAGATGAATGGCAATCCTGACATGTCTTGAAAATAAATCCCGTTTGCTGAGATTTTTTTTCTTATATATATAATTCTTGCTTTTTTCCCAGTGAGAAAGATCTCATCCTTCATAACCATTTGTCCAGTGTGAATGCAACATTTCCAGTTAGTCAACAGATTCGACAGCCCCCATGGCTTTTCCAAGTGCTGGGACACATAGAATTTCAGCTTGTGTCAAATTGCCAATTCATGTTTTATGCCAGTTTTTGGGGGGTTTTATTTCTATCCAAAGACACAAGTGAGGATGAAGGGCAGAGATTTTCTGTCTTTGCAAAGCTACCTTGTGAGCACTGTGACTAATCAGCTGATTGAGTTGCCTGCTAAGTGGTGATCTTTGTCACTCTGATAATGCTACCAGATTTATGTTGCTGAATCACAGATGTGATCACATCAGAGTCTGCCCAGAACCTTTACTGCATCTGGAATAAGGTCTAGATTTGACTGACATCGAAGGGCTTGCTGCTCCAGTCCCAATACTCCTTTCTAGACTTTCTGCCCTTCTCTTCACCCTCCACGGCCTTACCTCCTCCTCCAAACCCTTACCATCTGCCTCTAGCCCCCAACATTTAATGCACAGCTACAGTGAGGGGAGAAGTAGAAATCAGGCAGATCTGGTTTGAGTTCTGCTTCTGCCATTTACTAGCTAGGTGACCGTGTGCAAGAAAAGACTGAAGCCGGGGCGGTGGCTCACGCCTGTAATCCTAGTTCTCTGGGAGGCCGAGGGGGGTGGATTGCTCAAGGTCAGGAGTTCGAAACCAGCCTGAGCAAGAGCGAGACCTCGTCTCTACTATAAATAGAAAGAAATTAATTGGCCAACTAATATATATATAGAAAAAAAAATTAGCCGGGCATGGTGGTGCATGCCTGTAGTCCCAGCTACTCGGGAGGCTGAGGCAGGAGGATCGCTCGAGCCCAGGAGTTTGAGGTTGCTGTGAGCTAGGCTGACGCCATGGCACTCACTCTAGCCTGGGCAACAGAGTGAGACTCTGTCTCAAAAAAAAAAAAAAAAGAAAAAAAAAGAAAAGACTGAGCTTCAGTCTCTTCGTCTATATAATGGAGATGATAGTACCAACATCACCGCGTTGTTGTGAGGATGACATGGGTGGTTGGAACAGCATAAGGACCCACTCAACAAATGATGCCCATTTTCTTCATCACCTCCTGGCCAGTTCTTACAGTTTTTGGATGTTCTTCCACGTACTTTCTTCAGAACTAGCCTCTGAGGGAAGTGAGGCAGATGTTATTGTAATTACCCCATTTCACAGATGAGAATCTTACTCCTCAGATAGGCTGATGTTGATAAGGTCCATGGCTCATAGCGACAGTGGCAGGGTCTGTGACACCAGATTTAGCACTTCAGCCCCCAACGTTGCCCGGCAGGTGTGTCTTCCATCTGAGCCCCTCGTGAGTCTGCTCTGTCTGGAACGCCTGCTGTGGCCGCCTCTTGAAATCTATCTCCTCTCCAGAGTCCTGCTCAGATTACCCACCTCTCAACAGTTTTTCCTGAGATTTCTCTTCACAGGGGACCCTCTTTCTCCCCTAGAAGGTTACTGAGGTACTTACCTCAGAATCCTGCCAGTGGACTATGGCTTTCTTCAGCTTTGAATGGGAGGCTAGAAAACACATTGCATTGTTATTCAATCTGAAGAATTTAGTGGGATCATGCTTTAACCAATTTTTCAAACTGAAGGTCATGACACTTGAGTCCTAGGATCAGTCTTGTAGAGTAGGATCACATTTAGAAAATTAATTAAATATAATACAAAATAGTAATAAATTGTATATAAGGGTAAGTTTTGCCTTCTCATGAACTACTTGTTTTAATTTGTTTCTGTGTGTGTGAAAATGCAAAACTTAATTCTTACTATGGGAAAAACAAGTTTGAAAGCTATTTTATCTAATTCTTAGGGGCTAATAGTAGAATTCTCAGAAGGAAAAGCTGAAATTGGAATTTAGGACTTATATGAGGCAGGGTGCACACAGTAGAGCTCTGGTCAGATTTTGGACAAGTGACTTAGCTACTCTGTGCCTCAGTTTCCTCATTTGTAAAATGAAGAGTGTGTCAACCTGAAATAATAATCAAACAGGTCAGATTCCAGTGTTAAAGGGTTTATTCACGTGAAAAGCTGGAAATGGCCATTCTGGGATGCACCAGTCCAGAGAAATGGGGAGAGCGCTCCAGAGTTGAAAGCTAAATTCTCGCTTGGATAGGAAGAAGACAAAGAAATATGACAGGATTATATTTTCTATACAAGGCTGTTGATGAGTTACAACTAATTAATTAGTTACGGTTTGTGTTCTTTCCCATGCAGCTTGTTTTCTTTTCTTTATAGCTGGTTTTCATTTTCTTTCCAATTTAAGAGATCACTGGGATAGCCACTAAGTCTTTGTAGGAGGAAGGTAATGATAATAGGGAGGTTAATATCTAATGAAAGTCAACAGTGAGAGGGAAAGGGTTTTTCCCTGAAGCCCTTGGCCATTTACAGCATTTTACAGAACAAGGCAGGTAAGGGGAAAGACTTAATTCAGACAAACAAGAGCTTACAGCTGCCTGTCACATGACTGGGCCTCCTAAATCACATTCCTTTAAGGCTCAAAATAATTTAGAGTTCCAACAGCTTAGATTTTGAATTACATATTTTCACAAGAGTAACCACCTTAGAGAGTCCTTAAGAGGACTTAATGTTTAAATACATGTAACACGCTTAAAACAATGCCTGGTGCATGTATGTTAGTTGGCCTTACAATTATTATTCAATCAAAGACAAGAGTTACTCTATATCTTGGGAGTTATGACTTCATCAACTAGAAAATACTGTTTTACTGAATGCCTACATTGTATGCCTCAAGTGTTATAATATAAACAAAGGGTATTTGGGGTATGATGTGGACCCTCACATTACTTCCAGAGGAAAATGAGGCTCACACGTATGAAACAATCAGAGAATAATGACTGTCTCAGGCAGTGAAAATGATGTCAAGTTCAAGTTCAGGAAACACTAGGTTTTCATATTTTTATGGTAGCATGTTTACTGTCCTGAAGAAAGTTAAAACTTCAATCTTCAGTTCCTCTCAGAGGAACAAGGTGTGTTGAGCAACCCTTAGGAAAGTTCTGAGTTTCCCTTCTGAGGCTCAGGGGTATAAGAAGCTACTTTAGGATTGCAATGGGGGAGAAGAGGGAATAGAATTAGAAGATGGGAATGTTTAATGTATATATCCAATCAGGATCCTATTACTGTAAGTAAACACTCAGCCAGAAGGAAATACAGGGATTCTTTTTATATCTGTATAATTTTTTGGTGGGGGAAGTTGCCACAAATTCCATTTAGTATGTTTACAGAATGCCATTTTACCTATGATGTTATTCAGAGTTCTAGAAATGTTGCCAAGAGGAGGAATTAGCCCAATGAAAGCACCTTCCAAATGAGAATGTTCAGTCTTAGCCATGAGTGAGTTGTTAGTAATTTGGATTATTATTAATTCTACTGAATGAATCTCTGTGGATACATGGAGAGACAGAGCAGATCTTTCTTAACATATATGGATTCTTCTAGAGCAGTGCTTTGGAAACTTTTATGTGCATTTGATGCCCACACCCCCTATCTTGTTAAAATGCAGATTCAGATTCTACAGATCTCAGGTGGGGCCTGAGCTTTCTAACAAGCTTCTAGGTGCTGCTGGTCTGCAAACCACACCTTGAATTGCAAGATTCTGATGTTGCCTTCTGTAAAAAAAAAAAAAAAAAAGAAAGAAAGAAAGAAATACTTTGCGTTTATATTTTATAATCCTTCTGACCATATTTTCACCCAAGTTACTAAATTTCTAACTGTTCATGTGCTTAGATTCCTAATTGTTCATGTCTAACAAACAACCAGGCACCCAAATTTCCTTTGCTGAGGATTGCATGTTTTTTATATCATAATTGATACCTTTAGAAACTGTTCCCTTCATTAAATCTACCCACGATTTTTATTATTATCTGTAGAATTTTGATTTTTTTTATTGTGACAAAAAGTTCTTTATGCAGTGGAAACACTGCTAGAGCCCCAATTTTTGAGGCCCTCTTAAACTAAATGCTGTTTAAATGACAGAGTGACAAGTAGCTAAATGCCTGCGGGGAAGGGGGAAGATGGATCCGGGTAGAGGGAACACAAAGAATAAAAAAGAACCACTCTTTTGATATATCTTAGTTCCTTCTCCTCTTAAAAATGTTTAAAACAATTTAAAGCAGAGACACGTGTCTGAGAGAGAAAACTCATTTGTATAGGGCTCTCTCTTCTGGCTTGTGCCCTTTGATGGGTGGCACTGTGAGTTGACACAGTCACTCTTCTGCAGGTGACTGCTGCTCCTCTTCCCAGGTCCTCTGGGTCTTGAGGTGGTGGCCTGGGGTTTTATTTTCTGAGAAGCAGTTACCGTTTTTTTCTTTTAATTCTGATCCCTTCTGCTGTTCTAACCAAAACAAAACAAAACAAATCCCTCTCAAAAAAAAAAAGAAAAAGAAACCAAATAGCAACAGGTATTCATATACTTCGAAATCCAAGTCCTTGAGTGTCACGTGGCTTCCAAACTTGGCTCCATGCTGTAGCCTTCTTTCTTTCTTCCTGGCAGGGGTACTTTTGCACGTGATGGGAGACGCCCTGGGGTCCGTGGTTGTAGTCATCACGGCCATCATATTCTATGTGCTTCCTCTGAACACTGAGGACCCGTGTAACTGGCAGTGCTACATTGACCCCAGCCTGACTATTGTCATGGTCATCATCATTTTGTCATCCGCCTTCCCACTCATCAAGGAGACCGCTGCCATTCTGCTGCAGATGGTCCCCAAAGGGGTGAACATGGAAGAGCTGAGTAAGTAGACTGGATTCTGATCTGTTAATGTGACTCAGGCCAAAGGGCCAGCATTATTTCCCAGCAGTGTTTGATTGATGTGTTCTGAAATCCTTTCAATGACCAGGTGATAGGGACAGACTTCATGTGTTTTATAGCCTTGTATGATGATTCCCGGCTCCAAGAGCCAAAGGTCTTTTGTGACCCAGGATTGTCTGACTCAACTGCAAATTTTGGAGACTGTAATGCTTGAAGAATGCCTATTCCTAGGCTGTTTACCTTCATGTCAAAGGTTTATTTTAACTCAAACAAGGCCATATCTGCTAAGAACTTTATTTTTATTCTTATTTTGGAAACATGAATCATTCATATTCTAGACCCTGCTTTCTAGTTAATCAATTTTATGGGCAATGCAGGTCACTACATCTGTCATAAGACTGCCCAGTGCTGCAGGCTGAGGAGGTGGTGGGAGGGGAAGGACCGAAAGTAGCAGTAAGACAGCATCGTCTTTGCCTTCCCAGGGCTAGCTTGTTTCCCAGTTAAGGAAACAAGATAAACATATACAAAGCAATTTGTGATATATACTGGCTATGTCTTTTAATAATATAGTGTATATTTATAGTAGATATTTTAAATAATACATAGTAATAATAATAGCAATACTTTTTTTTATTTTTTGAGACAGAGTCTCACTCTGTTGCCCAGGCTAGAGTGCTGTGGCTTCAGCCTAGCTCACAGCAACCTCAAACTCCTGGGCTCCAGTGATCCTCCTGCCTTAGCCTCCCAAGTAGCTGGGACTACAGGCATGTACCACCAAGCCCGGCTAATTTTCTATTTTTAGTAGAGACGGGGTCTCTCTCTTGCTCAGGCAGTTCTTGAACTCTAACCTCAAGCAATCCTCCCGCCGTGGCCTCTCAGAGTGCTAGGATTACAGGTGTGGGCCACCATGCCCGGCCAATAATAGTGACAGTTTTATGGCACTTATTACATGGTAGGTACTGTTCTAAGTGCTTTACTTATATTAACTCATTTTGATCCTTAAAATAACACTATAAGGTACTATTATTGTTATTTCTACCAGTAATAAATATACAGAGCCAGGTGCGGTGGCTCCTGCCTATAATCCCAGCACTCTGGGAGGCCAAAGCGGGAGGATGGTTTGAGGCCAGGTTTGAGACCTAATATATAGATAAGGAAACTGAGGCAGGAGGGGCTAGGTAATTGCCTGAGGTCATGCAGATAGTAACTGACTAAACTGGGATTCAAACTCTAGCTGGCAGCAAGGTTTTCACTCCTAATCTCTATTCAATGCCATCTCTCTAAATTTAATGCATTCATTTTAGAAAGTATGGAAAATATAAAAAGCCTAAATAAGAAAATAAAAATCTCTAATTTTACCATGGAAATTACCACCATTAGTATTTTTTTCTCTATGCACTGTATAAAAAAAAGATCATGCTATATACACACAGTTTACCTATTTGCTTTTTTACTTAAAAATACCTTATGTACATTTCCTCATATCCTTAAATGTGCAACTTAGGTTTTTTTTAAAGCTGTATCATATTCCATCATAGAATTGATTTAACTGTTTCCTTATCATATTTCCATTTTTTTCATGAATACAAAGAGCATTGCCTGAACCATCCTTGGACATATATATTTGGTTATTTCTTTTCAATTAAATGTCTAGTACTACAATTTTTGGTAAATGTTTTTGATTCATATTGCCAATTATCCCTTTTAAAAAAAAAACATTCCACTTTATACTTCCACCGGAAGTCCATTAGAGTGTCCATTCCCTTATATACCCAACAACCCTGGAGATGTTTTTCTTGTGAAATGTATTTTCTTAGATGACTTTGTATGGGCTAACACTGTGGTATGGGAATTCAGAGAGGAGAAAGAAGATTATGAGCAAATGTAGGGTACATTTTGTTTGTTTTCTTCCTGTTAATCTTAGTAACACAGTCCTTTTGGTGAGAGTGCTTAAAGAGGCTATATCCCTCCTGTAGTTCCATGCTTCCAATATAGCACTCCCCACTCACCTTGGCTATCGTTTGCTCTTCCCTATTCTAGTGAGTAAACTCTCTGCCGTGTCAGGAATTAGCAGTGTACATGAACTGCACGTCTGGGAACTTATAAGTGGAAAGATCATTGCCACCCTGCACATCAAATGTCAGAAGGACAGGGGATACCAGGATGCCAGCATAAAAATCCGAGAAATCTTCCACAATGCAGGAATCCATAATGTGACCATCCAGTTTGAAAACGTGGACTTGGAGGAAGCCCCGGAGCAGAAGGACTTATTTTTGCTCTGCAGCTCACCTTGTATCTCCAAGAGCTGTGCTAAACAGCTCTGCTGTCCCCCCGGGGCATTGCCACTGGCCCACGTCAATGGCTGTGCTGAACACAATGGTGGTCCCCCTCTAGATGCATACGGAAGTGATGGCCTCAGTAGAAGAGACACAGCGGAAGTGGCTATTGAAATGCCTTTGGATGGGTGTCTGAGGGACCACGGACCAGCTCTCAAAACTCAGGAGGACCAGTGTTATGTCAACAGCACGCATTTTTAATCTGGTACCCACATATCATCAGACTGTGTAGACAAGGCACTTTGGAACTACCACCTTGGCTTGTGGAAAGAGCTTTGTGGGTTGTAGGCTCTGACCAGACTTGCAGTGTGCATTCTCTGTGTTCCATAGGGGTTGGCTGTCTGGGATTTTGGTTGAACATGTCTGTTAATTTGTATGTAACTGATAACCCCTTTCCATTGCCCTGGGAGTCTCATGCTGCTCTTGGATAGTTTTGGCTTGAACATACATTTTTGTAAAGCCAACTGCACTCGTGTAAATATCAGGGACATTGAAGGCTGGAACTCAATGATTGACACAGTATTCAAAGAAGTTCTTGTCCTTAAACTGATTAGAACTTCCGACTGACTCTCAAGTGAGCTCGTAGCCTAAATACATTGAAAAAAACTGAAGTACCATAACAGCTATATTTTTCCCATCCCCTCAAAGATCATAAAAGTGGAAGATTAGGTATTTATTGCACTGCAGAAATATCTTTTTTCTTTGATTGATTTTTGAATAAATGTAAAATGCATACCTATTAAGGCAGAAAATGTTCTCAGAACATTAAAAGAGGGGCAGTTTAGTAGGAAGGGGGCAGGAAAAGAGTGGTTTTGGACCATCTCTTCATTTTGTGTGAGATGAGAGAAAACTAATGTTTACTTTCTGCTGTGTACTGAACTGTGGCTATAGGGTGTTTCAAATGTTTAAATATATAATACACTTTTTCATGTCAGGGACTATTTCTACTTCCTTAAGTATGACACAAGTACTTGTAGACTGTCTTTTAGAGTCAGTACAGTTGGGACTGTTTTCATTTCGTGCTTTGATAATGACTTACTTATTTGTCCAAATTTCCTCTGAGTCTTCTTTCATGTGATCACATTGGTCTATGCAGCATTTACTAGAAAAAAAAAAAAGAGTATTCCTGGGATAGGAAAATATATGATGTTGGGGGTTCATTCCTTCCAAATAAATAAGCTAGATTGCCTTTTCTTTAATTGGACATATTTTAAAGTATTTATTATAGTTGCTAACTAGTAACTTGATGGAAAAGTTGATGTCTGAGGGAGAAATGAGAATTTCACTGCTGTCTTTAATGTGTTTCGAGGAACTTAGAATTTTCTTTTATGTCTCTGATCCATTTTACCAAGTTCAAATAAATTTTGTATAATCTGATTCAGACCCATAACCAGACTATACTGGTCATGGAGAGGTGTCTGTCATGTATGTAACACATTGTTTAGGGCAAGCATTGAAATCATAAACGTCTCCTAGGATGAGAAAAGTGAGAGGTACCTCACTAGAGAGCTAGGATCTTCGATAGGTTGCAAGATCGACTTAAAATGGTCATCTCTTAAGCTGTAAGGTCCTATTTAGAGTCTGCATAGGATTTATCAGAAGTGCTGGGTTGGTAATGGAAACAGGATACACGTTTTTCAGCACAAACATCATTTTAAAAATTTGTCTTACATTTGAAGGCTGAAACAAATAAGCAGCTATGAAGTAGGATAGGAAATTCTTTTATTCCTTGAAATGTTATCATCTGAATTTAAGTTGGCTATGAATTAGGTAAATAGAAAAATGCCTACAAATGTTTTTATCCCTAGAAGTTTACTGGGCTAGATTATATGCACTTTATAAGCTAAAAATGGGGCAAAAAATAAGACATTTCTATTTTTAGTATTAAAAGTGTGGCATGTACTCACAGAGACCAGAGGATTCTCTAAGAATTTGGTGATATGTGGCCAAATTCTCCTCCATAAACATTGGTTGAGATGCCTTAGCTGGAGCCAAAGAAGAAATTTGTCTCTTACTTCCAAATTTGAAGGTCCAATTTGGTTTCACATAATTTTGCCTTCATTAATAGGGAAAATTGCAGTTTCACAGTTTTTGTGCAACTGGGCAAAAGGAATGCATTAGTTTGCATTCATACTTAAATCTCTAAAGTATTTTTCTGGAAAGGAAAAGAAACTTAATTCTAAAATATTAATAACTAACTCTAATCTCAGAGAAGTATCTTTCTTGACACTTAGGAACATACCAAATTATGGACTGGAGTCAATGTGAAATAACAGTTGCTTAGTTTGGTGTTCCTGTGTGCTTAGGTTAATTCCCAAAAAATTCCCTCCTTTTTTTTTTTAGAACCTAATATAATTTTTTTTAAAAGTCTATGGCATTCTCTGGGTGTCAGGTGGAGAGGTAGTTGTCCTGTGTGCTAATCTGGCCTTCTAGAATGCCCTTCTGTTTCTATAGAAAGAGTCCTTCCCACATTATTTCAGCACCAGTTATAGGAAGTACTGTGTCTGCTTCCTTTTCCAGCTTCCAAATTTGTTTTTGAAAACAGAGGTTAATTTTTTTCATGATATTTGGCCAATAGGTATACATACCCACAGGGCTACCAGATTCCGTTGTTGACAGAAGAAAATACTATCCCTCTAAGTTTTTGATAAAATATCAGTAAAATAAAGAGACATTATTTGAGGAAGAATTGAAATTATTCTTTATATTTAGTTACTTTTTTTTTTTTTTTGCCATTGGCTGAGCAAACCCATGGTGGTAAATCGGGAACTCCAAAGTTCAGGAGGGATGGGTGTTTTGAATGTCAAGGAAATCACTAAAGTAGATTTTGCATTATAATAAATAAGGCAGCTGCCCTGAGAGGTAGTAAGAGCTTTTGTGGTGCTTACGCCAGGGTTTCTCAATCATGGCGTTATTGACATTTCAAACTGGATAATCCCTGGTGTGTGGGGCTCTCCTGTGTACTGTGGGACAACGGTTGGCAGCGTCCCCAACCTCTCTTCATAAATGCCAGTAGCATCCCCCCAAGTGTGACAACCAAAAATGTCTCCAGACATTGCCACACATCCCCTGGGGAAAAACTTTGCCCCAAGTCTTGAACCACTGGCTAAAAGTAAGGGTAGTTCAGGGACATTGTTGATGACAGCCTCTCCAGAGCCCAAGAGTACTTTTAATAATCAACTCTGTGGAATTCACTCTGTAAAAATATTTTTTTTTAAGGCTAAATCAAATTGTTCATAAAAAATCATAGTTGACTCTACCTAGGAACTTTGGACATTTAAAGAAAAAAATGTAATTGGAAACAAAAAGTCCCTACAAATCCTATTATACAGATCAGTAATTGTGACAGTGAATGAAATGAAAAAAAAAAAAGCATTTGCTGTGACTGTTTTGTGCTGATCTCTTGCATTTATGAATATCCTCAATTTGGCGGGCCTACTACTAAAAGAGACTGGATCATATCAGCACAATTGATTCTTGGGGTTAAGGTGTTTAATTCTTCATACTTAAAATTATCAAGTTAAGCTTGATTTTTTTGTTATTAGTTTCCCATAAGCAGCTCATCTTAGTGCCAATGACAAGTTCAGATATTAAAAAAAACAAGTTTCATTATTTATGGCTAACTTTACCCATTCCCCAGTTATATCCATTTTCTCCAAGAAGGCAGAATGCATTTCCTCATTTTAAAGTATTCTACTTTCATACTCTTGCAGTTAAAGATTGCAAAAAAAAAAAGCTAGTTTAGGAAAAATTAGGAAACATGACCTGATTTGGATTTTGAATTTGGATTAATGATCACTGACTGCATGCCTATTTTATAACTGTCATTCACCTGATATGTTGTCACTTGTTTGTGCTTCTGAGTATATTGACCCTCAACTGGCCACAGGTGGGAATGAGGTTATTAACAGGAAGACTAATTTCTCAAATGGAACTCGCATGGGACCATCATCCTCAACCTAATCCACATGTTTTTATAAATCTAAAGCTTAGGTAATGCAGATGTGTCGTTTTCTGGTGCTTCTCTTTTGTGGTGTTTTATTCTGGGCATTTTTGTTTACAAGAAACTTTCTTGAATGTTTGCTAGATGATCAACTGTCACCTATTAACACAAAGTCAGGCCAGAGACACTGAACCTGCTCTGAATTCTAATGAGAATAAGCCAGAACCAATGATTTTTCAAGGGAGCGTGACCCCGTCCTGGAGGTCTGAAGTTATGTTACAATATTGTGTGGAGTTTTGTTGCTTAAAGTTCTTCTGTCCTCATAGGGAATTTTGCAAAAGTGTAATCCTCACTTTGGGGGGACTTGTTAAAACTCTAAAGATAGGAGTCTAAATCAATCATTACCAATTGCATGTGAATCCCCTAATAATGTATGTACCTATGTGTACCTTTTAAAGGTGAGAGATATTCAATGGTGCTGTGAATAAAATTGTTTTTTAAAAAAATAAAAACACGACTGAAATATGTTTATGAAAATTAAACAGATAAAGTAGCTGACCTCATTTTGTCTTTTTGTCATTTATTCTGGTAAATTTATTGCTTAGTACTTCTTGGATTGGTTTTAATCATTGGGCCTAATTCTCCTTCTCCATTTAGTGGGTCCCCTCTTCACACTCCTTCGGCTGCCCCCACCACCTGCAATGTCACAGGGCCCCTCTTGGCAGAAAAATATCACCCATCAATGCAGCTGCCTTACTTACTGGTAGGTAATAACTAGTTATGGTAGTAACCTAGACTGATTTGGTTTGCTAGTGGGACCTGATTTGGTCCTGAGCTACACAATAGGGTTTGCATAGAAGGGGAGCTCCTTGGATTTAGGGAATGGTGAAGAAGCCAACCTTATTTTGGAGAAGCTCTATAGATTTGGGAACCTCTCCAAGGAGTTGAATATAATCCTTATGAATATTTAATCAAGGGAACTGTCTTCCAGTTCTTTCAATTGCTTTTATTTTGTAAATCAATCAATTAATTCATCAGGCTATCTATCTATCTATCTATCTATCTATCCATCTATCTTTTTTTTTTTTGAGACAGAGTCTCACTCTGTTGCCCAGGCTAGAGTGGTGTCAGCCTAACTCACAGCAACCTCAAACTCCTGGGTTCAAGCAATCTTTCTGCCTCAGCCTCCCGAGTAGCTGGGACTCCAGGCATGTGCCACCATGCTCGGCTAATTTTTTCTATATATTTTTAGTTGACCAACTAATTTCTTTCTATTTATAGTAGAGATGGTGTCTGGCTCTTGCTCAGGCTCGTTTCGAACTCCTGACCTTGAGTCATCCTCTCACCTCCGCCTCCCAGAGTACTAGGATTATACCACACCCAGACGTCATCAGCATATTTTTATTGTAAGCCATGTACAAGTAATTCTTGCCCCTAAGGAGTTTATAATCTACATGTAAACTTGAGTAAGGCAGTGCAACTTTGTGGGACTCTAAGGGGAGCTATGCATAGCCTGTGACTGCAGGGTCGGGAGACACCTTGTCCTCTATGTGTTTTGGTGCACGTTCCAAGCCCTGGGCAGCATCTGAAATGGGAGAGGCCTACACGATGTTTCATGGCCATCAGCCTCCTACGGCAATAAGAGTCTGCAGTAGGAAGCAGAGGACTGAGCCCAGGACTTGGAGCACAGAATCCCTACTCCATCTAAAAGAGAACCCTGTCTCACTGTCTCCTACCCTTCAGAATATTTCTTCCCATCACTGTCACTTCCTAACATTCTATTATGTATTTATTTGCTTATTTCCTGTCTCTCCCACTACAATAAAGCTTCGTATCATCCACCACTGTGTTCTTCAGCCCCTGTCACAGTGCTTGGAACAATATGTGGGCATGTGGTTGTTGCTCCGTAATATTTATTAAATGAATGAATCAACACAGGAATGAAGGAATAGGTTCAACTCTTGGTGTTACCAGGTATAGGCTTTGGACACATTATATAACTTCACTGAGTTTTAGTTTTCTTATTTATAAATGAGGCAAATGATGAAAATCTGTGGTGTCTACCTTGCAGCATTGTAGGAATCAGAGGAGATAACGAAATTGAACATGGATTTAAAAGTCAATGGAGTTTATCCTTTTACACTTTCAATCTGACATTCCTATCTTCCTGTGCTTGTCCTGCCTCCTCTCATCTGGGTAATCCCATTTTGTCAATTCATTAGACACCATTCAGTGCTAACTAGCACTAAGCAGCGGTACAAGTAATGTGGGTGAAAGTGAAGAAAAAGGATGAAGAGTCAAGGACAGCTACCTAGAAGGGCTGGCATTTGAAGTTGGCCTTGGTGTAGCTCAGCCAGTGGAGAAAAAGGGGAAAGGGCATTCCAAATTGAGAACTTAGACTTAATTCTTTAGGCAGTCGGCCCCAAAGCTTTTGTAGGAGGGGTCAGGGGACAAATTGGGGAAATGCCAGGAATAGGATATTTTCAGAAAATGATTTAATCCAAACGTCTTCCTCGCCACGATCTCAGTTGGTCTACGCAGAGTGTTCCCCCCAACGCACACTGAGCATCTCCACGAGCATCTCCAGGCCCACCCGGGATCCTGAGCTCCTCGGGCGGTGGCTATGGAGTCACTGTACGTTTCCTCTGAGAGTCCGCAGATGCTCCAGATTCACCAGGAATTCATCCTAATTTTTTTTTTTTTTTTGAGACAGAGTCTCGCTTTGTTGCCTAGGCTAGAGTGAGTGCCGTGGCGTCAGCCTAGCTTACAGCAACTCCAATACCTGGCTCGAGTGATCCTTCGCCTCAGCCTCCCGGTAGCTGGGACTACAGGCATGCGCCACCAATTGGCCCGGCTATTTTTTAATAGTATATATCATTGCCAATTAATTTCTTTCTATTTTATGGTAAGACGGGTCTCGCTCAGGCTGTGTTGAACTCCTGACCCTGAGCAATCGCGCGCTCGGCCTCCCAAAATGCTAGGATTACAGGCGTGAGCCACCGCGCCCGGCCTCATCCTAATTTTAAAATCAGCTTTCCTGGACTTTTTTCTGTTGGTTTCAGTGGAAGCATGCTGCCCACATTTCTCCCCTGGGGCTCCTGCCCCCCAAACCCGCTCAAACCTTGCAGCCCGGTTTCATGATGACTCTACTCTCAGCCTGCGTCCAACTCCTCCTTATGCTCAGTTACTGCTCCCCTCAAAGTGATCCTCATGTCAGCCCCTCCCTTCCACGCCCGCCCTGGCTCTCAGGTTCACGCATCATCCCAGCCTGTGCTGCTGCAGAACCTTCCCATCAGCTTCGCAGCCACGTCTAAACGTTCTCGCGTCAACCCTCTTGCTTCCGGGAGGAGGGACAAACGCCCCAGCCTGTCACTGAAGTTCCCTTCTCACCCGGGTCCCCCAGGCTTCATCCTCTTCAGCAGACAAGAAGAGCACACAGATACCCAAGGAAGTTAGAACGTGAGAGGGCGGAAGGCTGCATTCTGGTTTCGAACTCCTGACCTCCAGCAATCGGCCCGCCTTGGCCTCCCGCAGTGCTGGGATTACAGGCGTGAGCCACGGCACTGGGAAGGCTGCATTCTGTGTGGACTAGTAAGTCAAGTTTTGTAGGAGTTGGGGACTGAACATTACACAGCGCAGCTTGTTCCTTTATGCAAAAAGAACTTTTATTTTTCGTTTTAAATCCATTGCCAAGTTATTTCCTTTCTGGTTTCTCTTTGTAGCTGATTTCTTCCTTTTCTTTTCTTTTCTTTTCTTTCTTTTCTTTTCTTTTCTTTTCTTTTCTTTCTTTCTTTCTTTCTTTTCTTTTCTTTTCTTTTTTCTTTTGAGACAGAGTCTCACTGTTGCCCAGGTAGAGTGGTGCCGTGGCGTCAGCCTAGCTCACAGCAACCTCAAACTCCTGGGCTCAAGCAATCCTTCTGCTCAGCCTCGAGTAGCTGGGACTACAGCATGCGCCACCATGCCGGCTAATTTGTGTAATATGAGTATCGTGTCGGCAATTTATATTTTATAGTTGAGGCGGGTCTTGCTCTTGCTCAGGCTCGGTCTGAACTTCCCGAAGCCCTTGAGTGATGCTGGCTTCGCCTCGGTCTCCCAGAGTGCTAGGATTACAGGTGTGAGCCACCGCACCTGGCCTGATTTCTTCCTTTTCTACCTTAGTGTGTCACTTTGCCCCAAAGCTGGTTTCCTGTGGATGCCAGACTGCGACCTTCCATCACTAGTGTCCTGGTTCCAGAACACAGGCAGACACTGACACATGCCATGTGTGCAGACAGGGCCCTGATCGCTCTCACCTCTGGCGAAGCAAAATGGAGAGTGGATTTTCCTTTGTCCTGTATATTCACATGGTCACATATATGGCCGTGTTTTGATAATGACCTCCAATATTGAGTCAAAATATTTCTTTTAGGCTTGTAGATGCAAGAGGAAATTTGCACGGGATTTGAAACCACAGGGCCGGGTGGTATTTTGTTGATCGGGACGGGGTAAAGGTAGGGGAGTACATTGTCCCAGGGGCTGGGGCCATACAGGCCTGCAGTAGTGGTGATAGCAACCAGGTCTCCTATCTGCCTGAGAAAATTGGGGCCCAAAGAAGACCATGCTGGGGTACTGTGAGTTTGCAGCTGTCATCTGCTGCTCAAAGACATTCAGGAAAAAAAAAAAACAAAAACACAAAACTGTGACACTTTTGGAAGGAGTTTTGTTTGATTCTTGCTTTATAGCTTTTACTTTCTACTGTTAAAAATTGTACTATATAGCACTTCCTGAGTGGGGAGACATGGTTCAACCCACAGTATGACCACACTTAGATTATAGGAAAGTGTTTACAGAGAGATTTTATTATGAAAATTATTATATACTAGGAACTATAGTTTAAGAATTAAACATTCTGGCTTTGGAACCTGCCTGCTTTCAAATACCGGCTCCACCATTTGTTATTTGTTTGACCTTCGGAAGTGCATTGGCAGATAATTAAAAAGTTCCCTGGGCCTCATTTGTGCCATCTGTAAAATGGAGAAAATTGTAGATCCCGCCTCACGAGGCTGTTGTGAGAACTGAAGGAAAATGGTCCACGTGGAGCACACAGCCTGGGTCTATAAATGCTCTGTGAATACTGGATCCTCTTGCAAATGCTAAGTAAAATTGTAGCTAGATTTATTCCCATTTTAACTTTTTACAGTAGAAATTGCAAAAAAACGTATGGTGTAGACCAGCTTGAGTGTTAGCACCCACTTTGATTTTAAACTACAGAGGCCATATCACACCAAGCACCAAAGGACTCTACAGACCTGATCACATGCCACCTCAAAAATCCCAGGAGACCTCATTTCTAAGAAAACAAAAAGAAATGCAATGTTGAAAGGCTTCAGTAAAATACCAAGGCTCCATTCAACAGGGCCTTAACTCTTACCCACACGCAGGTGGCACCTGGAACAATAACATCGCTGCTCAAGGGTCCCCGAGTCCAGGGTTCTGGCCAGAGAGGGAGCGACAACTTCAGCTGAGTCTGGGTGAACCTCCATTTCTGTCACTGCCCTCC